CGTGCGCCTCCGTACCTCTGCACTTTACTTCCGCATTTCCTCTGAGTCTCAGTGTGCTTTTCTCTTTCCTTCTAGTTGTAGAATTTCCACTCAGCCAGCCTTCCTGTGGTTCTGGATGATGTCCGTTTTGTCTTTTAGTTGTATTTTTGAATTGGTTGTGCGAGGCAGCAATTTCAGGTGTTTACCTATGCCGCCATCTTGGTTTCCTTTCTGCGCAGCCTGTCTTAAAGGTGTGCAGAACACAATATCCAGAAAACGTTGCAACCAACACAGCGTATTGTAATGTGTTGTTCTCTGTCATGATCATGGGGCAACAGGAGCCCAGCATCACAAGAGAGATTGTATTGCATACCACTAGCCAGAAAAAGATCTAGTAGATTCAAAATTTGGCATTAAAGGCTAAAAATTGTAAGTCAGAGACCTGCTATACTTTAAAAATATGCCATTTCCACTTGGAATCCACGGTTTCTGGTGAGAAGTCACACTCTGTACCTTTATTCTTTATATAGGGAGTGCAACTTTTTCTCTGGCTGTTCTCAAGATTTTTCTTTGTCTCTAGTTTCCAGCAGTTTATGATGTTTCCAGGCATTTAATTCTTTGGGTTTATCTGTTTGGAGTGTGTTGAACTTGGTGAATCTTTGCATTTCTTTATAAAATTTGGGGAGTTTTGGCTATTATTAACGATTTCAGCACTGCATTTTTTTTATCATCTCTTTCTGGCAGCCCAGAGACCTGAACCCAGACTTTCTGTTACCATTCTTCAAGTCTCTGAGGTTCTGCCCACCCCCCACTCCCTCAGTCCCTTGTGCTGTCTGTTCAGACTGCAGTGTTTCTAGTAACCTGCTGTCAAGTTCACTGACTCTTTCCTCTGCTGTTGAACCCATTCAGTGAGTTTTTTATTTTGATTATCACATTTTTGGTTTAAAGTTTCCATGAGGTTTTTCTGTATATCTTCTGTTTGTTTCCTGAGGTGCTCTGTTTTCTCTTAGTTTCGAGAGTGTTGTGATTGCTTCTGGGAGATTCTCACAGCAGCCACTTCCTCACCTCTGTCAGATCCGTCTGACATCTGCTTCATCTCAGTGTGGTGCTTACCGATTGTCTTTCCCAGTGAGCTGAGATGCCCTGGGCTTTATATGCTGAGTAATCTGGGACTATATCCTAGATATTTTGAATATGCCTAGTGTCTGGGCCTTGTTTAAGTCCTGGGGAGAATGTTGATGCATAGGCTCCTACTGCAATTTTCACACCTTTGTCCTCCACAGCACGGAGCTGCCTCACATGCCCCCGTGCGTGGGGCCAGGGCCAGGTGGTGCTCTGTGTTCTCAGAGTCTGGTGTGCTGGCTCCTCAGGGTGAGGGCCGTGTGTGCTCAGCTTCAGGCAGGTCCTCAGTTCATGAACAGTTTTGCAGGTCACTTTCCCCGAGCTCTGTCAAGCTCTTCCCAGGGTTCTGATTCCAGTTGTGGGCCCCTGGCCACCACTGCAGGCCTCAGTCCAGGTTCCACATCTCCTCGTTTGTTCCGATTTTGAAAGCACCCCCACATAGGGACAGCATTTGGAAAAATCCAAAGTGCAGTACATGTATTCGTGAGGCAGGATTTTCATGCAGTTTTCAACTTACTGGACTGCGCTTTCCCTTTTTCAGGGTGAGAAGTCTGTATCGGTAGATGGGAAGTGCAGCGATGCCACACTGCTCAGCAACCTGCTGGAGGAGATGAAGGCTACATTGGCCAACTGCTGACTGTTGTCACTGAGGCCACCACAGAGAGGACGTGAAGGAGAGACGGGTTCCAACTGCTAGTTTCTCCTCTGTCGCATGTACTTATTCAGCCCGGCGTTAAGTCCACTGTCGTCATGGTTAGACATTGAGGTCATATGTTCACTGATTTTTCCTGTCATCTTTTTTACTTTGACTCTTCCCACTCTCTTTGGGGAGAAACCCTGCTCCAGTCCTCAAACCATCAGTGACTCCTGTAGCCGGGGTCAACTGTACATGGCCGCAAGAGCTGTTCAAGGAATGAGTGTGACCACTGTCCAAGCCAGGACTGGGTGGGCCCGGGTGATGGGTGTACAGCGGACAGGGCAGGGCAGGGAGGCACGTCCTGCTTCTGTGAAGTCATCCAATCCCACTAGTCTCCAAGTCCCCACCTGGGAGGCGAGAGATGGGCTGGCTGCTCACCACAGTGACATTCCCCTTCACACCTCACAGCCAGTCAGTTCTCTCTCGCCAGGAAACATGGTGGGGAAATGGTCATGCAAGCCATTGTCCATTGCATTGTGTCCCACTGCTGTGTTTGTGTGCCGGGTAGAGAATGGCAATGGATTGCAAGGGGTGAGGGCTGCAGTCTGGGTAGGGATTTATTCAGGACCCTTAACAGAGCAGGAACTGGACATTGTTTTGTTTCCTTTTCAGTAAAATAGGTCTCGGTTGACATTGCTTGGGGTGAGCCACAGGCTTTGTCCTCCCGTCATATCCACAGCTGTTGGGAGGGCCCAGTCCTGGGTTCCATGGCCCCGATGGTGAAGCACATGCGTCCTGGGGAGGTCGGGTCCCTTAATGCGCCTCATGGGCAGGGCAAGGGGACTCTGGCCCACCCCAGTGAGACTTTCCTCAGAGATGATGGTCCTCAATGATGTTTTAACTATCCTTTTGATGAAAACTGTCACTTTAGCATGTAATCTATTGCAGAATCCTGTGCAGTGATTCTAGAATCTCGAAATTGTATGATGTGTTATATAAGAATTTGCTATCAACATTCCCATGTAAAGGAGACATATCACGCTGCTGTCATGATTTTGTGTCAAGACGATCCAATAAACTTGCAAAATAGGCATTTACCTGTTGGCGGGGGTCATCCCCTGGTGGCAGGGAGGTTGCGGGGGGCTGTGGGACACCCTCATCCTCTCGGGAGGTGACATGATCCCCATGCCATCCAGGTCCCTGGACTGGAAGTAATAGGGTCCAACACCACACAGTGGCCATCACCTTCCCTTTCCCAGAAACCGCACTGGTAAGAGGTGTGCTGGGTGAGTGGCGGGAGCAGATGCTAGAAGGAAAGCCCTGCTGCTGTTAATTCACCACATTGCCACTGGCTTTTCCTGACAACGCATGGACAGGGTGACTCAAATCCGGTCAGGCTGGGTCAGTGGACAGAGAGCCCAAATCAATCACAACTGGAATCTCCTAGTGTAGGGGGATGGAGATCAGCCCCACATTAAACCCCACTTGGAGCACCAGTGGGGAGAAAGGCCTCGCCAGTCCTGCCTCTACCACCGTCAGCCAGCAGGCCCTTTCCACTTCTCAGTGGGGAAAAGTGCATCATGTAGCACACCAACCCCTTGCATTGCCCTCGGGCTGGAAAGTCAAAGGCCAATGTAGAAATAGCAGTGACGGGGTGACCAGGATCCTGGTGATCAGCCAGCCCTGCTCCTGGCACACACCCCTCCCTGTGTTTATTGAAGATGTCCCATGACTCCATTATTTGACAGTCTATCCAAATATCACCTGAGCCTCTCATGCTGTTTTGTTTAAATCCTACCGGATAAACACACAGGTGAAAATCTGGCTAGCATTCTGTCAGGGAAACTTCAGTAGGAAGCTGTGCAGCATGTGTGGGGTCCTCAAAAGGCCTGTGACTCAACCCCCACTCTCCCCCTCCAGACACAAGAACAAGAGGGAGCTGGAGGAGGAAGTCAGGGAAACAGCACCCAGGCCGAGAAAGGAGTGCCTGCTCAGGACAGACTGACAGGCAGGAAAGGTACCTCTCAGGGCAGCATTTCAGAGCCTCCCTCCCGTCTTGGAACAGCTATACAGCCTGGATCACAATCCATGTGGAGTGTTTTCGAAGCAGTGCTGTAGGGTTCCTTGGACTGAGGTTCAGCCCCACATGACCTGATGACCTGAGCCCCATGATACACTGAAGCCAACCCTGTCTCACTAGACTGCTGTCTCCCTTTGAATCATCAGAACCATCTCGCTCCCAGGCTCCTTTCCAGGTGAGCCTGCCCAGGTACGCTCTGGCACATCACAATCAAATTGGTGTGGGGACGGACCTTTGGACCCTGTGCCCATGACCAGATGTATCTTGCTCGGGCCTCACATGGTTCTCCCTGCCCCTACAGGGACTGCTCCATGAGTAGAAGTGTCAGGGACATTTAATCATCCATCATATAGTTCTGATCCCACCCAGCATCTGCTGTATACAATCCACCCCCCATCCCCTCCTCCCAGCCCTGGCCCTGACTGGGCTCTGATGGGCTTGTGCAGGGACCCCCAGAAAGCAGCAAGCCTGCTCCAGAGTTAGGCTGGGACAGCCCAGCTGAGTCCTGGCCCCACACTGCAGCTGGGGTGGGTCCAGTGGGCCGGATGGCTATCAGCGCTGTGTCAGCACTCAGAAGCATTGTCCAGTGTCAGGTTGATGAGGTGTGGGGGCTCTAGACCCATGAAGCTTGGTGATATCAGGCTGCAGAGAGAAACAGGTGTCTCAGTACTTCCTCTCCCATCTCCACCTCAACCTAACTGGTAGGTGTTTGTTAGGGGCCTGGGCCTCTCCTCCCATGTGGGGCATGTGACAGGGCTGCAGACCCTCAAAGTTTTGTCCCCACCCAACTCCCACCTGGCCAGGCACCTTGTGTTGGTGCCCTGTCTGAAAGACATGACTGGGCCCTGGTTAGCCCCGTGACCCCCAGGTCCCTCCACTGGGGTACATCCATCATGGGAGCGGGGGTTCCTCCTAGGTTCTAACCACAACCCTGCCACCCACTTGGGGCAGGGTAAGACCAGACTGTGGGAAGGGACCCTTTAACCAAGATGATCTGCCCCCCTTGTGCCAACTGAGCTCAGAGACCCTTGAGGAAGGAAGGGCTGGGGCCCGAAGCACAGGGTCCAGGTCCTGCCTCCTGGTGGCTGCCCTCACACATACCCTACGGACTCTGATAAAACTCATGTTGGTTTGGAGAGGGGAGACTTGTGCCAATTATTTCTACAACTCACATGTAAAGGAGGAATGACTCTGATAAAACTCATGTTGGTTTGGAGAGGGGAGTGCCAATTATTTCTACAACTCACATGTAAAGGAGGAAGCCCTGCACAGCTGTGTTCCACTGCATCGGCAACCTGTGGGGACACAGGGTGTGGAGCCAATGTGGCCCTGAGTTCAGAGGGCCAGTTGTGCCCACCCCATCCTACCCACGTGATGAAAGGCAGGGAGGAGGGGGAGGAGGGACACCCCATGACCTGGACAGAGGCTCACTCACCACAGTGATGCTGACAATCAATGCGGCCTGTGCAGGGACAAGAGCATGGAGAGCACTTTCTTAGCAGGCCCTGCCTGTCCCTGACTCCAGCCCACCTTCTCAGGCCTGCCAAGCCTTAGGGTTTGTCCATCAGTCACTTGGGGTGGCTCCCAGCCTGGAATGGAGTGACTACTGGACAGGGTAGCAGCGATACTCACCAGTGCCTCTAGGGGCCAGCTGGGGAAGGTGGCAGGGAGGGAGAGATGGGATTTATCTTTCAAGGGGCCCTGCTGGCACCCAGGGCATGAAAGGGTTCCTCCCTCAGGGAGATGCCCTGCTCCCCGATTTCTGTCTGGTCCCATGCTGGCTGCAGGCTCTGAGTTCTAATGCCCGGATGCACTGACACCCTATCCACATAACTCCAGCCCCAGCTACGCCCTGGCCCCGGGCTCCCAGCGGATGAGAGGCCTCTAAAATACTCCTGTGGTCCTGGGTCCCCTAGGCCCTGGGAAGCATGCCCCTGCCTCAGCCTCTCTAGCTCACTTTCAACGGTGGCATTCTGGATGCGGTGCACCCGCTCCCAGAAGATGCGTGAAGCTCCTTGGGGAAATACCCTGATGGGGGTTGGCAGGAGGAGGGAAGTCAGGTTCGAACGGTGCGCGGTCCGGGGTGTCCTAGGGCCGGTGGGCCGTCCCTTTATCCGGGAAATACATCTTCCCCTGGCACAGCTGATCCAGCTTCTGGTACACGGTGTTTGCCACTTGGTTCAGCTTTTCTCGGGCTAGGCACTGAAGGAGGGGTCCGGTGAGCGGCCCGGGCCGGGGCCGGGGTCTGCCTGGGCCGGGGACGCACCGATCGCGGGGATGGCCAAGTGCATCGCCTTCATTATGTCCTGGCTCCAGTCGGTGAGCAGCAGCCCGATACGGGGATGTCGTCCCCGTACCAAGACTTGAGGTTCATGTGATGGCGGGTGAAGAACGCCAAGAAGTTGCCATGGTAGTGCAGGCAGCCGCGGGCCAGCGCGG